GGTGCTTTAGACCACTGAGCCATCTCTCCAGCCCTCCTTGTTCAATTTTGGTATGAAAGTTATGCTTGCCTCAGGAAAAAAGTGAGGATGTTCTTTTTCTGATTTTTAGAGGAGTTTGTGTAGGATTGGAGAGATGGATAGGACTTACTGATCAAAGTTATCTAAATTTGTATGTAGTTCATCGGAAGATGTTTTCCCCCATTGGGAGATTTCTGAATGCTGAGACAATATCTTTATGCAAAAAAGACTTTTAAGTTTTTAATTTTATTTTTGATTATCAATTGCTAGAAATGTTTATTTTGTTTTTTTTAAATAACTAATTAGCTCCAGATTTTTTTTTTTTTTTTTTTTTAGGTACCAGGGATCGAACTCAGGACCTTGCACTTGCCAGGCAGGTGCTTTTGCCGCTGAGCTACATCCCCAGCCATCTTTTTTATATATATATTTGTTGACATAAAGATGTTACTGTTTTGTTGTTGAGATGGTCTCACTGTGTAGCGCAGGCTGGCTTCAAACTTATGGTGAACTTCTTGCCTCAGCCCCGAGTGCTGGGATTATAGGCATGTGCTGTCATGCCTGGCTTATTCCTATTATTCTTAACTAAATTCTGTAGCATTTATAATGGTGTCTCATTTCTCATTTTTGGTAATATTTGTGGCACTTTTTATTAATTTTATTATCTTTTCAAATAATGTTTTAAGTTTAATCCTGTTTTATGTTTTGTTACTTTTTGCTCATTTTTTTGCTGTTTTGCTTTATTGTTAAATATTCTGAGTAGATCCTCAATTCATAAATTTTCAGCATTTTTTCCCTAACATATTTAAGGGAATAGTTTTTGTCTGTGTGGTATACTATATTATCTTTTTAAAACACATTTTTATTTATTATTATTATTATTACTATTTTCATTTATGTATTTCGTACAGGGTTTCACTACACAGCTCAGATTTGTAGTGATCTCCTGTTTTCAGCCTCTGCAGCACTGGAATTATAGGTGTGTGCCACTGCGGCCGGACTCAGTTGGGGCTCAGCGAGACCTGGAGTAGGGTGGGGAGTGAGGTGGGGGGCACCAGCACAGTATGTGAGACCAGGGATCAAACCCCTGGTCCCTGCACTTGCCAAGGAGGTGCTTAGTCGGCTGAGCTATCTCACCAGCCCCATTTCTATATATAGTAATATGATATTTTCATTGTTTAGCCAAAACATTTTCTAATTTCCAGCACTTAAAAAAAACCAAACTAAATGTTCTTTAGTAGCCTGCTTCTTCACGTGTATGTTAGTTTCTAAACATATGGCCTTTCTCTAGTTATCTTTTTGTTCTGATGTCTGTTACTGATTTCTAGATTAATTAATTGCCTTGCAGACATGTAGGTGATTTAGCTCTTTGGATTTAATTTATGACCCTAGGAAGCAGATAAGTTTTGTAAATGTTCTGTGTATGTCTGAGAAGAATGTGTATTTTGCAGGTGCTGGGTGTAATATCCTATTCATAGCTATTAAATAACTTTATATGTTCAAATTAAGTATTTACTGATTTTTAAGTCTATTTATTTACTTACATATGTTAAAATCTCCCCTATGTGGGGGGAACTCCCCTATGATTGTTTAGTTGCTTACTCTACTTGTAGTTCTAATTATTGCTTTCTGTGTTTTCAGACTATGTTATTGAGTACACATGTTAAATGGCTTTCTAGTGAATTGAATTTTTGTCACTATGAAATGAATATTAATGAAAATCTATTAATATAGTTATAGCAACTATCTTTTGAAAGCTTGGTGTCTTTTCTCCATCTTTTTACTTTTCTTATTTTCTTTTTGTGGAACCAGGGATTGAACTCAGACCCTTGCGCTTGCCAGGGAAGCACTTATTCCATTGAGCCATCTCCCTGACCCCCTCCATCTTTTTATTTATTGTATGTTCTATGTTTGGTGCATTTAGTACAGTTACATTTAATGTAATTTCCTTTTTTGCCTTTTGGATTATTTCATATTCAGACTCTTTTTTTTTTTTTTTAATTTGGAAGTTTGTAGGGGCCGGGGAGATGGCTCAGTGGAATAAGTGCTTCCCTGGCAAGTGCAAGGGCCTGAGTTCAATCCCCAGTTCCACCAAAAAAAAAAAAAAAAAAAAAAAAAAAAAAGAAAAAAAAGAAACAGAAAGTTTGCATTTGTTAATTACTGGTTATCTAGAACCTAGAGTTAATCCCTTTCATCTTCAGGACACTCATAACACCTTTCCCCCCCCAATTTCATTCCCACAGAACTGAGAGAAGATGGTTTCCAGCCTCAGACTTACCTAGTACAGGGGGTGAAAGCACTGCATACTGCTTTAAAATTATGGATGAAAAAGGAAGTAAGTCATTATTGTTCTTATTTGTACAGCAAAGTTAAGAAAGAGCCCTTTTGCTGCATTGGCAGCATTTGTGAATAACAGTGGTAGAGGCAATAGGAACCTTCTTTAATATAGCCTACATTTAATATAGATTGATGTGCTTGGTTTTGGTTATATTTATGAGAATAAAGAACTTAGTTTTCTATCTTTAATTTGGAAAAGAAAGTCTAGTGTCCAAGAAATGGTCATGTAGGTAGAGAATAATAATAAACCATACTGAACTCTTACACTGCACTAAGCACAATGATTAATCTGCATGCACATGATCTCATTTAACCCTCAAAGTAACTGTGAGGCTGGTTGCTCTTGGTGCCCCTCATAAGTAACTTGCCCAAGAAACTTGGTAGCGCTAGGACAGGAAGCTAGTGTCTGGCATGGCCAGCCTGTTCTCCCAGTCTGCTAGGCCTGTAGAATACCAGGGAGAGGTAGGAGGCATGGTTCAAGCATGAGCCTTCCATTTACACGATGCTATTTGCCTTGAGCCCCTCCACCTCCAAGGGGTCATCCAAGTCTGAACTGCATCAGACCTTGTCTCCAAATAAAAAAGGTTATCCCAGATCTTCAAAAGGAGCTAGTGTTTTCTTCCCTCATGTTTTCAGAATAAATTCCTGTGCTAGTGGGCTTACAATTCACCATTTGGCTTCTGTATGTTTCCTACCCTAGATCTGTGAGTAAGAAAGAGAACAAGGACCACCTCATCTTTATTTCAATCCCATGGAGCTTTGCACATAATACTTTAGTAAATGATAATGCATTCCCATACTTTTTTAAGAATAGGAAAATTTATTGGAGAATAGGAATGGGGAATAAGAATAACTCCTGTGAGATAGGAGTAGTCCCAAGTAGGTTGCCACCAAGCCCACCTCTCAAAGGAAGTTTTATAGAGCAAAATCATGAGGTGAGTACAATGTGGGTTAAAATTATGATCAACCAATAAGATTGAAAGTATAGTCACATGGGGAATATTGATCTATGGTAGCAGGGGTACATGGGTGACATCATTAACTTTGGTCAGTAATCTAGTCTTGACCACTGTTCTTTCTCACTCTGTCTCTCTCTCTGAGTCTCTCGGTCTCTCTTTCAGTCTCTCTTTCTCTGTCTCTCTCTGTCTCACACAGTGGTCCACTCTCACCCTGCAGAGTATACTTCTTTTTCTACCTTTAACTGGTCCACATTCTTTTCCTGTCTTTGATAAATGTAATACCTCACTAAAAAAACAAAAAATTATCTGTAGTCTGAGTCTTTAGTCTTAGTATTGTAGTCTTAGTCTTAGTGTCTCAGTATTAGTAGTTGAAAGAGATGGCTCACCCCTATTGAGGTAATGGGAAATCCCAAAAGGGTGGTGCCGATAGTCCCCAGACCCCTGTTGATCCCTTAGGGAAGTATATAAATCTAGCTCTTCTGACTTTAATCTTCATCTGCACCTCCAGCCACAGTCCCGATTCTTGTCTTCTACACTGACTTGTTTGGACACCCAGCCCTGTACCTAACTTAGTTGTCTATAATATTACCCTTTATGAAGAGGAATCCCAGGGCTGGGGAGATGGCTCAGTGGAATAAGCGCTTCCCTGGCAAGCGCAAGGGCCTGAGTTCAATCCCTGGTTCCACAAACAAACAAACAAACAAAAAAACCTGAAGAGGAATCCCTTACTGCATTTAAGGGACAAGGGGCTACTTTGAATCAGAGGGATTGGTGTAGGGGAAACCGCAATCAGGGGTCTCTTCCAGAGATCTAATCTAATGGGCCTCAGATAAGAAGTCATGTTGCAGTTTAGCAGTTAAGAACTCTTTACGAGGTTGATCTAGTGGATCCCAGAAAAGAAGTCTGGCACATGTGTCATTGGTTCCATCTGCATGGTCATTTGGTATATAGTAGCCTCTGAATAGCAAACATTTTGAAATGTATAGCCAAAGAGCTACTATTCCTTATCAACCATAGTTGTTTTTGTAGTTGAATCCTTCTTTCCAGCTTTTATCAGTGGGACATCCAAGATAGATGATATAGGGGAAATGCTAGATGTCAAATATGTGGAGTTTATGACTGCTTGAAGTTGAAGAATGAATTCTAAGGGACAGTTGAGGTTAATAGTGTTAAGACAGGAAAATTTATTGGAGAAAAGGAACAGGGAATAGGAATGGGGGATTGGGAATAGGAATAACTCCTGAAGGACAGGAGGGGTCTCAAATGGGTTGCCTGTTTTCATATTTCTTGAATGTCTATTTAAAAAATTCTAGGGGCTGGTGAGATGGCTCAGTGGTCTAAAGCACCTACTTAGAACAAGCTTAGCAAAGCACAGGGACCGCGGTTCAATCCCCCAGCACCACATGCCAGCCAGCCCCGCCCCCTGGGGGCTGAGCTGACCACACACACACACACACACACACACACACACACAAATGAATAAAAATTTTAAAAAAAATTCTGCTCCTAACAAATATTGGAAGACAATAATAGGCTTCAATTCTAATACATTTATACTTTTTTTTAAATCATTGCTACATATCCATTAGAATGAGACACTGTGGAAACATTCATAAAATAAAAGAAGACTTTACATGGAAGACTGTTGTCTCAAGACAAGGAAAATCCTAAGCAAATTAATAACCATATAACTAGATAAAAACAAAATAAAACATTTCAAAAGCTTCATTGTCTGTTGGAGGCTTTAGGCAAGTGGCTCACAAGTGCATGTTTATCAGCATTGTCTGTAGAGGTTTATATGTATATATCCCTGTATCCTCTAGAGATTCTGCTTCAGTAGATCTGAATCTAAAAGCCTGTTATGTGATTTTGATGCATAGCAAATTTGTTATCAGTGAATATTGTTAATGTGTTGCATTTGAAGTGCATTTTTAAACCATGTTTACCTATAACTGTGCCACATTTGTTGTAAGATGAGAGGAAGCTGAACATAGTGTTAAGAGCTTCTAGAATTAGATATTTGGATCCAAATCTCAGCTTTATTACTTATTAGCTGTGTGACTCTGGATACATTATCTAACCTTTGTGGCTCAGCTCCCTCAGTGGTATAATGGGAGTAATTTCCTAATCAAAATAGTTTCAGAGCATTTGCTAATCAAAATATTTGAAATTCAAAGTGCTCCAAAATCCAGAACACTTCTGGTCTCAAGCATTTCAGATAAAGAAGATTTCATCTGTATTATCTATGTCATACTGTTATTGAACAGGTTAAATGAATTAATACTCGTAAAGTTCTTAGCACATCAAAGCACATAGTCCCATTAATATTACTGTTACTAATAACTTAACAAATTATGCTAAAATAAAATAGAAGTTCTAGTATCTTGAGTATGTCTGGAAAACCCCAAACTGTTCCTAGATACAGAGATTAATACTGAGAAATAGACATAAAAATGATAGCTTTCAGTTCGATATATACCTCACTGTTAGTTCTTCATCCCTATTGATAATACCTTATGCCCATTTTGCTTTTGACTATTAAAAGAAAGAGTTTACTAAAATTACTCAAATTATACTTTGCATAAGAAAATAGGGTTAAGTGCCTATGTGTCCCATAAATTTTTTTACGTACTGTAAATTACATGTTTTTCTTAATTTATCTGTTAATAATTATAGTTGGGGGCTGGGGAGATAGCTCAGTGGCTTAAGGACCTGCCTGGCAAGCATAAGGTCCTGAGTTCGATCCCTAATACCCCAAAAACAAAACAAGACACACACACACACTAATACCCCAAAAACAAAACAAGACACACACACACACACACACCCCAAAACCAACAAAAAAACCAGTTATACTTGGAACATAGTATGATTTGAAGTATAGCGGTACAAAGTTCTTACTCAACATAAAGCAAAATAAACTGTGAGATAAGTACATTTTTAACAGCCTGAGAGGATTTTATATGACAATGAAGCTCCCCTTAGAAAGTATTTTAATATCAACTCCATGAATTCTGAGACCAGGCTTTTTGCTATCTAGCCATGTCTATGAAGCCTAGAGAACCCAAAAATGTGTTCATTAAATTAGTTTTTGCGTGTTAAAATGTAAGTGATTTGGTTTTCTTATCTTTGTTAATACAGCTTGTATCTGAACATGCCTTTGAAATTCCAGACAATGTTAGACCTGGACATCTTATTAAGGAACTTTCTAAAGTAATTCGAGCAATAGAGGTAAGAGGAAAAACTCATCTAAATACTTGGTACTGCCTGCCTGGAGAAGCAAATGGATCACCCATCACTCTGCAGACAGTGAAAGAGCTGACACTTAGTGCAACAGTGAGCTGAACTTCAGAGTCTCAGATTTCCAGGCTTTTCATGTCCCAGAGAGAAAGTTAGAATATTATGTTGTAGTGAGGTAACACAATAGTAAGGAATAGGTGCCAAGTTACTTCAGGATAGTGGAAAGATTAACAAATGTTGGGTAATCAGCTCAGTTTTCAGATCTAATTAATTTGAGAACAAGAGAAAAAAACAAAAAACAACTAAGATGAGTGGCTAAAGGTAGGTGGAGCTGGGTTAGAAAGAAGGGCAATAGCAGTGGGGCCGGACAAGGAAATGCAGGTGACTGAAAGCCCCAGAGTAGCTAGTGAGTAAAGGCCTTTGATGAAGGCCCACAATGTCTATGACTAGGTGTTTGAATTTATTAATTAAGAGCTCTTGGGCCACCAAGATAGCTCAGCAGACTAAGAGCCTGCTTTGGCAAGCGTGGGGACCAGGGTTTCATCCTTGGTCCTGCATGCCACTCTGGCCCCACCCCCAGGTGTGCTGAGCCAGTGTCCAGGCATGGTGGCACACGCCTGTAATCCCAGCACCGGGGAGGCTGAAAACAAGAGAATCACTATGAATCTGAGCTGCGTGGTAAGACCTTGTACCAAATATATAAAGATGAAAAAAAAAAAAAAAAAAAAAAAAGAACTCTCTAGGTATTTAAGCAAAGAAGGGTATTTATTTATTTATTTATTTGGCCTTCTCGGCCTGCCCTGAGGGCAGGGCTGCTGTGGCATGTGATGCTAGGGATCAAACCAGGGTCTCCTGCAACTGCCTAAGCTTGCCTAAGCAGGTGCTTTAGGCACTGAGCTATTTCTCCAGCCCCTTGAAGGCTTTAATTAAAGTAAAGCTGTGTATTATTTTAAAATTCAGTATAGGAATGAAGACTAACTGGTAATTTAACATCTTACACTAGAGCTGTGTTTAAGGAATGGCAAGAAGTACTATCTAAAAGAAATTGAAATGCTAGCTTTAGTATCCATGGGTAGAATAGTAATAAACAGTTCATGTATTTTTCAGTACAGTAGAAAAGTGATCATAATTACATATAAATGGAGAATAAAAATCATATATAATCTCAAAATGTAGATATAAAAATATAAAATCTCATGTACAGTAACAGTCAAAACTAACTCAATAAGAAAAGGATGTGTGAAAAAAGTTATATTAATCTTTACTAAGGAAGATAAAGTAATAGTTGAATAGTGGGGAGTGTTATGGGGGAGGAAGTATGTCAACTCTGATACTACAGATCGCTGCAAGAATGCTTGGCGTGCTCCAGAGAGCACCTAGGTTAGGGGAGAGCAGGTAAAAGAAAGGCTCCCTGCTTGTTACTTCCCTGGGATTAAAGTGTAAGTGGGTGTCTTCTGTTTTATCTGGCAGTTCTGTGCAGAAGGGATGTCTTCAGAGAAAAATACAAATTTGGTGATTACCGAATATGTCTTGAGTGGTGGCCTGTTCTGAAGGTGAATTTGGGGAATAGTGATAAATAAAAAATAGAGCAAGAGTTGAAATTTTAAAAATTTTATTACAACAAAACACATTTTCAGGAACAGGAGTATGTTTGAAGAATGGGTGAATATTTTAAGCATTTTGAAGGGGATTAATGGCAAAGAACCCTTTGCTGTAAACTTTTATTTAAATATTTACTGTATTTTTTATTATGCCTCATTCAGTAAATATTTATGGCAGTTTCTATGAAGTAAAAGCATGGTGCTGTGTTCTCGCCCCCCTACTCATTGGGCTTAGCACTGTGAGACTTCTGGCTCTGCCTTAAAGCCGGAATGGCCCAAGGGAAGCCTTAGCATTTGTGTCAGGACATCGTTGCAGCCTGGCAATGCAATGAAAGACACCAGAAAACAGAACCTGCAGAGCTGGTTCAGAAAATGATAAGAGCAAGAGTATAAATATGTTCAAAACTTAGAGGAATATTCTGAGGGAAAGGTAAATGGCAATGTGCCTTCTACTGTGATAGATTTTTTTTTTAATTTAAACATTTCTTGTGCTTTCTGATTATACCTTATACATGGAAAGCAAAGGAGATGGGAAGTTAGGCAATTTTTAACTCAAGGGAGAAATGAAAGGACATATAAAAGCTAGGTGTGGTGGCCCATACCTCTAATCCCAGGATTCAGGAGGCTGAGGCAGGGGGATCAGTGTGAGTTTGAATCCAGCCTGGAATACATAGTAAGTTGAAGGCCAAGATGTAATAATGTTACATGGTATTGAGTATCCAGTTTTCACTGAGTCTAATTTAAATACTATTTAAGGAAAAAGCAGTGTGGATACGTTTAGAAATAGGATTAAAAATTTATTTTTTATTGTAGGAATTCAGTAATATCTAAAGCTAAGAGCAGTCAAAAAATGTTATTTAGAAATTTAAGGCACTGAGAAAACCAGGGAAGCGCTTATTCTACTGAGCCATCTCCCCGGCCCCTAGACCTAGAATAATCAAAAGCAGACACGGGCGGGGGAGGTAGCTCAGAGGCATAAGTGTCTGCCTAGCAAGCAGAAGGTCCTGAGCTTAATCCCCAGAACTGAAAAAATAGACACAGATCTGGTCCACCCTGTTCATAGTAGCATTATTCTCAGTGGCCAGAAGGAGGGAGCAGCCCAAGGCTCTGTCAGTGGATAAATGGATGAACAACATGTGGTACACATAGTACATACTATAAGGAAGAAATCCTCACATGGTGTGGGTGAACCTTGGAAGGTATTTGGTAAGAGAAACTGCAAACAGAAGAGCAGGCAGTATATAATCTCATGTATATGAAGTCTCTTGACTTGTCTAATTCATAGAGACAGCAAAATAGTGGGCAGGGCATGGTGGTGAATGTCTGTGTTCCCAGCACTCAGGAGGCTGAGGCAGGGGAATCTTGGAGAGTTTGAGGACAGCCTGGGCTACATAGTGAGTAACATTGTGTCTCAAAAAAAACAAAACAAGAAGAAAATAAGCAGAACAGTGATTGTTTTTATATCATCAAGGTAGATTTTGAGTCATTAAAATATTTTAGTTTGAAATACTAAGTTCTGCAGGCTCCATTCTTTCTAGAAGGTGCCAGCTTTGCATTATTGCTATGGGTTTGCTGTCCCTCCACTATATGCATCTTTAATGTATTTAAGATGGGAATACAGAGGAAGGAACATCATAGGCATGTAACTTTGGTTTTAAAGTACTGATTTAGGCAGATATGTATGGTGTGTGCAGACTGTTCATAGGAAAAAAAAAAACTGGAAAAGCAGCCTAAATAGCTACCACTAAGTATTAGTCAATAAATTATGTGATGTCCATATAGTGAAATTGATCTCAGATTGAAAAATCAAAAGATTGTGTTTACTGTGTATTATAGCAAGGAGAGAAAGGAATAAAGGTCTCAGGAAAGCTGAGGCTTTGACTTGATCTTTTTCTATGAATTAATGGAATAGTTTTGTTTCCTAAAATATATTTGTGGCTGATTATTTATTTAGTTGGGTATTATATAATAGTCTCGTCATAAACCATACCCTGAATTTAATTCTTAAAGGAAGAAAACGGCAAACCAGTTAAATCTCAGGGAATTCCTACTGCATGTCCAGTTTCACGGTCCTCAAATGAAGCAACTTCCCCATACCATTCCCGACGGAAGATGAGGAAGCTCCGGGATCACAGTGTCCGAACCCCTTCCAACCTGGACATCCTGGAGCTCCACACAAGAGAGGTCCTCAAGAGACTGGAGATGTGCCCGTGGGAAGAGGCAAGTAGTGTGTTTCCAGAGGAGGAGAGAGTAGGCTGTCCCTGAGGTTCTTCAGAGAGTAGCAGCATCTCCTTCTCCTAAGGAGCAGCTGCACCTTCTCCTTATCTGACCTTTGCTGCAGAATTGCAAGTGTCAGCTAGTGCTCAGGCATGTGCAGGGCAGAGCGTCTGACCTCACCAGGCCTCCTGCCTTTGCTAGTGTTTCCCAAGTACCAGGTGCTCATGTCAACCTGGAGAAGACACCAATTAAGGCAGAACTCAAGGCCCTGCCTTGTGAGCTTTCATGGGCTGGGGAGGAGTACCACATCTGGCACTGGGTGGTTCTGAAGGGGCCCAGGGCACCAGAGCAGTGGGAAGAAGTGTCAGCCTCTCTGGTGACATTTGAACTGAGATGTAAGCAACAGGACCAAGTCGGCTGGCTATAGAGCTGTGAGGAAGTACATTACAGGCAGAGGAAGAGTGGATGCTTTAGAAAGCCTGTCCTGGGGCTAGCAGTACCAGCCTGGCTGCTCTGGGCCAGGAGACTCAAAATCAGTCTGTCAGAGTTGAAGCACTGGTCCTGGACAGCAGGGTGCATAAGAGTGGGGTGAAATCGGTATGAGCAACTTGGTAAAGGTGGCCATGAGTTTGCAAGATCGGCATCCAGCAGAGGTACAGGACTCCAGTGAGATAGATTTAGCTCTGTATTAAAATTTTAGTTTGGCGAGATAGCTCAGTGGTCTAAAGTACCTGCTTAGTCAAGCTTAGGCAGGCACAGGGGACCACAGTTACATCCCCAGCACAATATGCCATGCCAGCCCCACCCTTAGGGTGGGCGGAGTCGGCCCAAAAATAAATAAATAAATAAATAAATAAAATAAAATTTTAAGCTACACAGAAATCATAACCTTCTTGAGTGTCTTAAATTTGATATAATTATAGAAAAAGATTTGCAGTTCCAAACATAACCCATAGCAATCTGGGGAAGATTTAGCTTATTATGAGAGGTTCAATTTATTAGGGTTGGCTAAATAGTTCAGTGGATTAAAGTGCCTGCAAGCAGGCTCAGGGGCTTGGGGTTTGATCCCCAGGCCTGCTCTGCCAGCCCCGTCCCCGGGGCATGCTGAGACAACAATTGAGGCTGGGTGTGGTAGCGCCCACCTGTAATCCCAGCTCTTGGTGGGCTGTAAATGGGAGAATCACTGTGAGTCTGATCTGGTAGCTAGACCCTGAACACCCTGTAGACCCTTCCCTAAAAAAAAAAAAAAAAAAAAAAAAAAAAAAAAAAAAAAAAAAAAAAAAAAAAAAAAATATATATATATATATATATAAGTGAAAAGAAGGAAATACTTTTAACACATTAAAAACAGCTTTTATTATCTCTTTGTGTCACATGGCCACCTCTATGTCTAGAGACAGCAAAAGGGCTTTGATAGTGCCTTGTAGGAGGGTGAGGCCAGGGTGTGTGGAGAGCCCGGAACTATGCTCTGTGCTTTACCCTGTGACAGGAAGAAGCTAGGAAAGAGCACACAGACACCTAACGCAATACCATTCTAGCTTTCTGCTTCTGAAAGAGTGATCTTTCCACAGCGTGCTTTGTGCAGGCTTGGTGTTCTACTTTGCAGAAGGTATTTTGTTGCTGACAGCCCTCCTGAAAGACTAGTGGACCTCGCTCTTTGGCCTAAGGGCCCCTGGCATACAGGGTCAAGGGCAAGGTGGGGCGCTGCCCTAGTTACTCCTCAGGGTGGAGAATAAATCAGTTCTGTTTTCATACTTTAAGGACACGTTGAGCTCAAAGCTGAATGGAAAATTCAACAAACATCTTCAGCCATCTTCCACGGTGCCTGAATGGAGAGCAAAAGATAATGATCTGCGATTACTGCTGACAAATGGAAGAATAATTAAGTATGTAATTTTCAGTTCCCTTGCTCATTTAGCCCCTAATCTGTGGTGATGTTGGGCGCTGTCATACAGGGAAAGTTTTCAGTTCTTTACTGTGATAGTGAAGAGCATGGGCACACATAGCCTAATACAACTCCTGACTTGCTTACTTTGGCTCTGCTGCAGAGATGAGAGGCAGCCCTTCGCAGATCAGAGTCTTTACACAGCAGACAGTGAGAGTGAAGATGATAAGAGAAGGACGAGAAAGGCCAACATGAAGACAGAAGCGAGTTCAGAAATGGAGGGGACGGAAAGGGAAAAGCCTGCAAAACCACTCAACAGTATGTGTCTTGTAATGGGCATTTTGAAGTTCTGTTCTTTATTAATGTGACAGTGGGTAAAGAAACTTGCTACTTTGAAAGGTCTTAAATTTGCATTAGGATTGAATACACTGTTGAAAACTCTGAAGTTGGTCTGTGTCCCCCATTAAGGAAGTGCTGGACACAGTGTCTTGGCCAGGGAGGTGTGGGGCTGGTGAGACCCAGGTCTAGTCCATTTTTAAAGGGTCTCATGGAAGCTCCTACTTTTTATAGCCTTTTGACCTCTACAAGATTAAGTTTCAGTTGGGCTGGGGTAGATAGTTCAGTAGAATAAGCGCTTGCCTGGCAAGCGCAAGGGCCTGAATTCAATCCCTGGTTCTGAAAAAAAAAAAAAAGATTAAGTTTCAAATGTACTATAATTTAATGTATATTCTTTACTCCCAGGTATATGGTTTTCAGAATTAGGATATATGTGATCTGGCCAATCCAAAGCTATTAGGAATCTACATGTTGTGGCTGTACTTAACTGTTGACAAGAATGTCAACCCAAATAACTGGATCATTATTTGGTTGTCATCAAATGGCATTAATAATATCAAATGGCATACTAATACCTCCTAACCCTTGAGAACTTTCTTCTTTAAAGTATCAACTTTTCCACATTTTCAAGAACTCCATATACCCTTCTTATAAAAATAAACATTTTAGTAATTGGATGAGTAACTGTTGAGAGGACAAATATTACTCCTTCCACGTTGAATTCCTCAATTGTTGCGGATTCCAAGCACTGTACATATGGTACTTGTAGTTAGATGATTCCAGCTAGGGAAAAGGCAGCTCATGAGCAAGAACTGATAGGAAAGCTCAGTGCAGGTAGGAAAACTCATACAAGCTTGCCAAACTCACGTCTGTGAATATATTTAGAAGAGTTATTTTTCAATCCCCACGTGCTGTGCTGGCTCTGCCCCCAGGGTGCACTGAGACTGGGCATAGTGGTATGCTCTTGTAGTCCTGGTGCTTGGGAGGCTGAAAACAGGAGGATCACTTCGAGTATGATCTGTATAGTAAGACCCTGTAGACCCTGTACTAAATACATTAAAAAAAAAAAAAAGTTAACTGTTTTCTTTTGAGAAAACTAATATAACAGGAAAGTGAAAGACATCTTGCAGCTAGGGCCTCTAAAGTGCTTGCCAAGTGCTTTACCATTGAGCTACACCTCCAACCCTAATTTTAGTTTTGAAGGTTGTTTTCTGGAAGGAAATAAAGTCAGCTGACTCAAGGAATGTCTAATCATATGCAGTAACTACCACAAAGTTTTCACAACATACTTAAGCCTATAACTTGGCCAATTAGGGAGAGACCTTGGGAGGAATCAAAGAGAGTGAATAATAGCAGTGCAAAAGCAGGATAAGGTGAGGAGATTAGGTAGACCTGAGAGATTGCCTTGTCATCTTGTTCATAAAGTTCTAATTAAAGACTTTGTCATTTTCCCTCTTCTCCATCTTCATCAGGGCTTTTTACAAGTGTGAAGTCAGAACTCAGGAATAGATCATCAGAATATTCTGATATTTCTGATTCAGAAGACTCTGGACCTGATTGCACTGCACTGGTATGCTCGCAGCCCTTTGACATGTGTGTCACTTGATGGGAAGGTGAACGCTCATGTGTTTTCACCTGGGAGGACGGCACATGACAGCTGTCCCAGAGCTTGGCTCTGACTGTGCGGCACGTGGTCTGCCTTCAGTGATGACCGCATACATGCACACACGGTGCCACTCACAGATTAGCAGGGAGAGATACTTCTGCATATATGTAGTTATACTGCACGTATTTCTCACTGGTTATAGTTTACCTTACAGAAAGGCTATACTGCGTGTTTTTAATTCAGGTAGTATGTTACTATAGTTACTGAAGATTTTCATATGAAACACAGAAGCAACTTTATGATAATTAAGATTCTGACTTTTCCTACAGTCTTTTTTGATTAATTTGTATAGTCTTGGCCATTTTCTTATGTAACTTTGTTGCTATTTAAATATTTATTATCTCAGAAAATTAATTTTACCACTGAAGAATCTGAAAGTTCAGGTGATGAAAAGAAACAAGAAGTAACATCAAACTTTAAGGAGGAATCTAATGTGATGAAGAATTTCCTTCAAAAGAGCCAGAAGCCATCTAGAAGTGAAATTCCAGTTAAAAGGTGGGTTTATTAGTGATAGTAGTTGTCTTAGACTGTGGTGTAGATGTTATGAAAACTGTCTTGTTTGTTTTAAACTGTACTAAATGTAGCATCAGAAAAAATAAACTCTTGCATTTTTGGCTCACCTGGCCCTTAGGGAGTGTCCTACCTCGACGAGCACAGAGGAAGAAGCTATTCAGGGCATGCTGTCCATGGCAGGGTTGCACTACTCCACATGTTTACAAAGGCAAATGCAAAGCACAGACTATAGTGGTGCAAGGAACTCTCCTGAAGACCCCAGTAGCTGCCACAGCAGTAGCCGTGAGGTCAGGCAGTCGTATCGCTATGATAAATCAATGGAATGTGGTAAGAAATATAATTTATCAGTACTTGAAAAGTAGTATGACCCCCAACTATTACTAACACTGTAATTCTAGTTTTTAGATTAGAGATTGTACAAATAAGAACTGTTTATTGCACATGAGATGCAGGCTTCAGAACTAAAAATGTAAATTACCTGGGATTGAGAATTGTGTTCATTGGCAGAGTTCTAGCTCTGCTCTTGCAAGACAGTATTGTTTCCTTTTCATCAGCAGCTTGACCAGGGTTAAGAGTGTTCTGGTCTCTTGAATGGTGTGCCAAACCAGAACATTCAACCCTTTTCCTTTTACGAGAAGGGAAAAAAGTTTTGACTTATTTCGTCATGTTGAGACTATTCTCTTTCCTCCTCGAAAGGAAGTGTTAGAAGAGCTGACTCAGGCATATCCGTGATGCCACCTAGTATTTTCTTCTCTGTGCCTTTGGAGAAGAATTGTTTCCCCAAAAGTCTGAGGACTGGGGAGAAGATACTACTACATTAGGGTTGAATGCCCTTGTAACACGTTCAGTTCTACATGATTAAGGGTCAGCTGTGTACCAGAAACTTGAAACCCACTTCACTTAATTCTTGAAACATGTATGGGCTTAGTATTATCAGTCCCACTTTACAGGTCAAAGAAAGACTCAGTGAAATTAGTTCAACTTGTCTGCACTTTACACAGCTATTACTCAAGGCTGCTGGGATTTGAACCAGAATGGTCTGATCTCAGTCTTTGCTTATTGTGTACGAGGAAACTGAAGTTTGGAAAAAGTAAATAACTTGCCTAAAGCTGCATTGGTAATGAAACTAAACTTAAATCTAGATTTGCCTGTCTTTCCAATACTCCCATTTTGTCTCTGTAATATTTTTGTTACTTAAAAGAGAAAACTTCTATGGAAATTCAGGCAAGCATTTTTCTTTATTCTATATGGGAAAATGTGCTAATGTTAGAGTACATTGTTTATGGTTTCACATCAACACATGGCATAGGGTTTACTGCCTGGTCTCCCAGCATCTGGCCCAGAACCTGTGTATATAAGAGCTGAGAGAAACAGCAAATTCATTGTGAGCAAGCAAAAAGTTTTTGAGAGGAAAAAGAGTGTAGTGAGAGTAAGGTATGTGAGGAAACATATAGTCAATTGTTTTCAGTTTTAAGCATTGTGCTAATTCTTTTCTTTAATATCAAATTGTACAAAGATAATTAAATTAAAATATTTCTCTAGGATATCATGTCAAGCCTGAAGATCAAGATTTGAAGACCTCTTCTTGGATTAAACAAATGGATAGAACTTGCAGATTTAATCCTCAGGTATATTCAGAGATTGAAATTTTTAAAAGCTTTAAAATTTTTTCTAGTTTTTTGAGACAAAGTCTCACTGTGTAGTTCAGGCTGGCCTCAAATTTGTGATCTTCCTGCCTCAGCCTCCCAAGCACTGGGATTACAGGCTTTACAAGTTGAATTATTAAAAGGTTATTAGAATTGTTGTGCCACCATACCCAGTCTCAGTGTCTGGTTCAGTGCACCCGGGGGCATTTTTCTTTTCCTTTTTGCAGTACCAGGAATCAAACTTAGAACCTTGCACTTGCCGGCCAAGTACTTACTCTACTGAGCTATATCCCCGGCCCCTCTCCCTTTTTGTTCTTAAGTTATGGTTAACTTGAAGAGCCAAGTTTTTCTAGACTCTTAGGTTTATTATGGACTGGTAGGACGTCATAATGGATGGTCATTTATAGCTAATCCATGTTCAGAAAACCAAACTTCAGTGCAGAGAAAGTTAAATATGTGTTAAGCCCTAAAAATTCAGTTTCATTTGTTTCTTCAGGATCTAAGCAGAAGCCAGAAATGCATCAAAAAGGAAGTTTTGTCAGAAACGAGTCAAAAGGTGCAAAGTAGAAACTGTATGGACAGTGGTGGCGCAGGCCTTCCGAGTGGAAGGTATGCACAGAATTCCAGCGTGGTTGTAGGTGTGTGCCAGATAAACAGTGAAAGCTTGAGCCCAGAGAGACCAGCCGGAGAGCCCTCCTTTTCAGTGCCCCTTCACCCCACCAAGAGACCTGCGTCAAATCCGCCACCTATCAGCAACCAGGCAACAAAAGGTAACTAGGACCCACCTGCAGATTAAGCCTTTTCTTGATGCGCGATGGCAGTGCAGTCTGTGCCCCAGTTGCTTGACGTCTTGTGCATGCTCCATGGCCTTCTAACAGCAGTGTGTGCCAGCTACTAGGGTGCCAAGCTGGAGAATGTGTAGACCAGCCTTGAGGGTCCAGAATGGCTTCCTGGGGCTCAGGAGAGGGGGAGCTTAAAGCAGGATGGTAAGGCCCGGGCTGTAGCAGAACGGATAGCAGGGAGAGCAGAGTATGGACCACAAGCTCAGAGGAGAAGAAACTGCAGCCTTCATGTGCTGAGGCATTGTGTGCACGGCCGGCTCCACTGCTGGTCCAAGCAGAGGGGAAGTGGCCATCCAGAAGTGTAGCTTGGGTGTGCAGAACACTACAGAGGCTTCCTTCCCAAATCTTCCTGGTGCTGTCTGGAGGGTATGCTTTGCATCATTACTTACCATGGTACTGTGTTTTGTAGGCAAACGTCCAAAAAAAGGAATGGCAACAGCCAAACAGCGTCTTGGGAAGATCCTTAAGTTGAACAGAAATGGCCACGCACGCTTCTTTGTGTGACAGAGCTGCTATGGCAGCTGCGCCTCCCTTTGGAGCAGTCTGGGGCAGGAGCCCGGAGCTTCTGCCACCCCTGCCTGGAGCAGCTGGCGTGGACATACGAACACTGCCCGAAGAGCAGAGCGACCTGATGCTGCGTCTTCACTGTGCCACACCACTCAGCAATAACCCTTTGGACCTGGAGGGAGCGGGAGGAGGAGGGTAGAACCTTAAAAAGAGACCTTGGACTGGAAAGGGTCTCTTGTCAGGGCTTGAATTTCATTTTGTTGTTGGTAGTGTCTTGATTTAATTTTCAGTAGTAGGGTAAAGAATTATCAATAATTTATTTAACAGATTTTTTTTTAAAAAAGTTAACAGCTTTTAAATTCTTTCTTTTTTAAAGCTATTTATTTGGAAGATTTCTGGAGAAATATCTCACTAATTTAGATTTAAGAATGTGAAGGTTTTTAAATTATTTTTGATAGTGTGCGTGTTACGTGTGGGGGAGCCACGGTAACAGTAACTAGTCTGGACTCTTAAATTTGATATTCAGGTTAAAGTCTTAAACAGGGATTTGATGCATTAATTATTTTAAATTAAGATGTATATGAAAATCATTTTATTTTATATATTTCATGTGTTTTTTATAAGCTATTAGCTTCGCTTTTGCTAACATCCAAGGTGCGTACTGTTATCCAGGTTGATTCCCTTACACCCACTTCCCTCTGCACCCCTCATTTTGTGATGACCCGACAAGACTCTTCTCTTTGCAGGGAAACACTTGCATAGCCAGTGTGTAAAGCTCCGTAAAAGACCCCTCACCCCTTATTTCCTCTGACATTGTGATTTTCTTCTGAATATAAGGAAACAGGCTTCCTCTTGCATTTTCATTTTTGCTGATGATATCTGGGTCCCAAAGAGAACAGCTTTAATATCTTCTTCCTACCTGTGGGGAAAGTATTGTAAGTTTGATTAATGTCATGTTTCTAGTTTTTTTCAAGTACATTGTAAGTACAGAGGGCCTTCTTCATACCGCTGGTGTTGGAAGACAGGGCCAGCACCTGCTGCAAGGGTTGTATCTCCTGATGCTTTTATTTGCTAACTCTAATATTTTGAGAAGTATGATTTAATTTAGGATATTCAAATCTGCATAATAAGCTGCAATATAATAGGATTATACTATATTAAGTTGTATAGAAGCAAGCATGTCGGAGTAGATCTTGTGTGTATGTGTTTACTTTTTTATTTCTTAACATTTTAAGGAATTATTCATAAGGATTTAGAGTAAAATGGGTGCTTTTTGCATTTCTTTCCATTTAAACTTGGCCAGTACATATTGAGGTTAAATATCTGGTTGAGCTTTCACGTAATCATTTATCTCCTTTCTGCATAATTTTTACTGAATGTGAGGTTTTGGTTGCTTCTAACAGATTTTGGTTTCCCCTTTCCCTCTCATGATATAAAAGTAAATGATTGTTGGGGATAAGGTGAAAATATTTCCAAGTCTGAATATATAGCATTTTGCAAATTCCTACAAAAACAATACAGGCAAATAGAATGAAATTTATTTTTATGAAGAAGAAATATGACCATATAATGGATTTGTCTTTTTTTTTTTAACTTAGGATTTTAAGTATCACTTAAAATTGTTCAGAAAAAGAAGCTATTCCACCATCTTTCATAGTTGTATACAAATGTATATTTCCAAAGAGGAATATTTCTTACTCTGTCTTTTCCCATGTTTCGTGGGATAACTATGAAAGAGCTAATAAGATAGCCTTCTTGGTCTAAAAGTCTGAGTCTTATTTGGGTGTCAGAAAGAAGAATTTTTGGGGAAATCATCAGTGTCTGAACAGCCTACTTAAAACCTGTCTGCATGATGCTGTGACCAGTGGAGAAGTGGATATGCTCAGCTGCTGGCTGGACTCAGGGTGCAAGGATCTAGGTTTGCCTGATGCCCTGACCTTCCCTCGTAATACATCACTGTGATGTCTCAGTTTTCTATGAACCCTGTTCTAAAGGGTCCATAATGATCCATGATGGGTTTAAGAAATAAGAAATTATAATTTCTTTTCCAGTGATGATCTGAATATTTTCTTTATGTTTCTCACTACTCTTAAGTATTTGTAATTACTTTTTAAGCTATATAAACAATTTCAAAATATAATTTATTTAAAAATTTTTAAAAATTTTTTTATGAATTAAAATTTTGACCGGTATCCATCTTATGTCCTAAAGCTGATAAAACAGTTTTGTGTATCCAGTATGTGGAATTTTTAAGTGAAAGTATAGTGGATTCATTGTTGGCAGTTTAGTCCATTAACTGGTTAAGTTACAAAGCTTTCAGGAAGGTAATATAACCACTATGAGAAAATACATGAGACTTTTTCTGAATTGGGAAAAATTCAACTATTGATCCAGTGACTTCTAATCAAACCTCTTATAATGTTTCCTGCAGTGGTGCCTCCCTTTATCTTATGGGACTGGCTGGACTTTGATTAACTGCTGCCAGTAACTGGGCTCGGCTGTAGTGTTTAACCTTTTGTTTTTTCCTTAGTCTCACTTATAAACTGTACATCACAACTTAGGAAGACAGCAGTGGTAACATTTACCTAGTCATGAGCAAATACCAGTTATAAAACTGAAAACTCATCATTTAATATACGCAACTTTAATGGTACTAGTAGTTTTCCTATTACTGAGTCAAATAAATAACCCAACCTGGGTTCCTCTGTACTGTAATTCATGTCACATAATGTTATGCTCCCCAGTATTGATGAGTGATGTAAACAATATATAGTTAGCAGTTTATAGTAGAGTTCAGCATCCTAGAAATACTTGGAACCTCATAAGTACCAGTTTATTTTTGAAGCATAAAACATTCTTATCAAAACCATAACTCAGAGAGGAGATAAGCCCACCTTTATCAGTAATTACTTAGCTCAGATACTGTTATATTTTTTTAATGGTCCTAATGATTGCCTTTTTAAATGTACTCTGCCGTCTTTGCTCTTGAGGCAGCAGGTATTTAGCAGACATGTACTGAGTCCCCAGCACTAAGTAGTGCTGCTGTAGTTGCAGTTCTGGTCTCTCCCGTGAAAGGCTTCTTCAGGAAGTTAGCAGTATTATTTTTACTTCTAAGCAAACTTCAACTGAAGAGAGCCTATTTATTAAAAAAAAAAAATCACTTGATTAGTTTCAGCTGAATTAAACCACTGTAGAAGTAGAAATAAAAAGATTTAAGTTCTTTACATTTTAAGAAACATTTCAAAAGTTAGTAACATAATGTTGGTGACATGAGGATATGCTTTAGCATGGAAGGAAGAAAAAGACCCAAGTTTTGGTCTGAGTTCTGCCACGTCTGTGTCAGTTGTGTAACCTGTATGCAACTCATGTCACTTTCTGAATCTTATTTTCCTTACTTTTAAATTGGGGTAAAACTGCTTATTTTACTCTCCAATGAAGAAAAGCATTTCTTAATCTATTAACACTTCATATTTACATATAATCTATCAATAAAACTGATGAATGCACCTTTATATACATTTTAAGTAAAAACTGCTATTATTCATACAACTTATTTCATATCAAATATATATGCAGGGCATGCTACCTAAAAATCTGATGAATCTCTAACAAGGTGCTGAGTTGAAGTCAGATGCCACACTCCAAGTAAAAGAAGAAGTGAGCTAGTTCACGCATAGTGAGTGGGAATGTTCATCCTTATGTACATGAAGGTGATTCCGAGTCACTGAAAGATACCTTTAAGTTTCTGTCAAAGAGAAATTAGGGAGGCACTGCTCCCCAGATCCGGCACACTCCTCAGGTCCTAGATATGGGGGAGTCAGTCATGAGATGAGAATGATTCAACAGCCACTCATGAGACTAGGGCAAAAACAGAGTGGTCACTCCGAGGAGACTGTTCTGGGATGGGTGACAGAAGCCTAGGCAGAGAGAACTCATTAGTGCTGCGGAGAGGAGACTCTGGTGGACGTCTCCCACAGATGTTCAGGACAGTGACGAGACTGCTCCCTGAGAGTGACCCACCGTGCAGCTGCTGGAAGGGAATGTGCTAGAAACAAGTGAAGTTTTCACATGGAGAGACAGGGCCTTCATAGTGTAGATCAAAACATTTTTAAAAGTTTGTCTTTCTCATTAAATACTTACTGACTCACTTCCATGTAAAGAGAAGCTCTCCCCAGCAGGCAGAGGCCCTGGATCTGAGCCCCAGCACGGGGTGGGGCAGGGGAGTGCCCGTCCTTTATGAGCTACTTCTTCACCAAAAGCAGTCTGGAGGCCAAGCATAGCAGCCTTTAGCCTAGGGAAAGCTGGTGAATAAAGTGTAAGCCAAATAGGGCAGTGATGTACCCAAGAGCACAGTGGGCAGGACCTCCAACAGCTTGCTTCCTGAGACAGCCCCAGCTGCATGACGCTGTAGCTTCTGCCTGCGTCGCAATGGACATGTGCGTGTGTGTGCTTCCTTGAAGACAGGTGCAAAAGGGCAGCATTCCCACCCTCACTACATTGTGCCAAGCCTGATGTAATCTTAATACTATATAGCCTTACTAAAAACCTTTTTTGAGTTTTTCAGTGATCATACCATAAGTTAAATACTTGATATGCTTTATATAAATACTTCTCAACAGTTAATATCCTTAAGCAAATGCCCACTTCCAAAGCAACTAATTTATTGTGATTGACTGGCTTTGTTCTTCTCTAGTCCTCGATCCCTGATAGTCCCTTGAGTCAGATTCTTCCTCTCACCTTGGTGCCCCCCTCGTGTCTTGAGGCTTTGTCTGAACAAGTACAGCCTTACATTTTTTTGTTGTTGTTCAGACCTTTATCAAACTATCCAGTGATTCTTCCAGCAAGCGTATCTGCTCTGCACGATTTCACTAATAAACCCTGGCTACCACGTAGCCCTTGACCTCCAAGTAGTTTACCTATGCAAGACCCATGGCAGTCCGAGTTCACTTTGCTTTATTTCAGGAAGCAGTCATACACAGAACTTAATCACAGAAAACTTGTTTTCATCAGTTTTATTTTGGTAACTTCCTCTTCAATATGTCAGCTATTTTCCCCCAAGAGTTTTCACCAAAACAATGATCATAAGTGCTAAATATATAATGTTTTGCAGGAGTAAAATAACCCAGACACACCTACTCATATTTCTCTAATAAATTTTGGTTGGTAAAAGTTACCAGCATTAAATACAAATATATAATAAGGAGTTGATTCCTTTCCTAGAATCATTTCTTCCCTCTAAGATTCATAAGGAACATTTTATTTTTACAAACCACACATACAGCTTCCACATTTTAGTCAGGGACCTAAGGTGTAACTTGCTAAGTGAACCCCAAGGTTATTTTATCTTGCAAAAGAAACCTAAACCAAACTAAGGGCCTTACAGTTTATGGTTAGACTGAATCAAAAGCTAGAACCTCAGTTTTTCCCAAAACAGCTTCTGACTGCAAAAGCAAGTCATGCAGTTGTTAGTTATGAAATAGCACTGATCAGGAAACGCACATGCATCTTGCAGGCTGTGTTTCCCTCAGAAAAGACTTTTCTACTTTTAATATAAATTAAGCCATAACAGTTTCATGCTGTGGAAAGAGGGTGAAAAGGTTCATGTTAAGAGATTATATAATATGAATTTTCACATTACTGTGAAATGTCTAACTTCACCAGTGCTTCAGCAAGTTTTCTTTTGGGGGGATGTTGGAGGGTAGTGTGGGGGAGGGGGCGTATTGGTTTTAGGGGTTTTAACTGTGAAATTTGACAAGGGGACAGTTGTTGGCTATGGTATTTACTAGTTTTGTAGTAACGTTTTGCTAGCCTCTCTGGCTTTCCTTACTGGTCTTTCTGCCCATGGTCCCAGGTGACTGTTGCCTTCTCGTCGGGGGTGTCTGTGGGGTAGTGTCTCGTCTGTGTGTAGGCTGCCAGTGTGTGCGCACATGTGTGTCCTTTGAGTACAGAAGCACACGTGTGACGGTGGGAGGGGGCGTGGCTGGGGAGTGGGATGCGGAAGCTTTAAGAGCATTTTTTTTCTGATTCATGACAGTATTTCCCATCTTTTGCCTGCAGGCAGGGAAAGTGTACAGTATTTATTTTGTTTCTGTTTTACTCTGAACTTGTAAGTCTTTAAGTAGCTTACATTGATTATTATAGGGGAAGACAAATGACTTGTTTAAAGTTGTCTTTAGTATTCTTTTCAATTTCTGTACTTTAAGATATTGAAATTAAAATTGTATTACTTCTGTTTTGATTTTTTTAGCACTCAGTGTATTTTTTGCTCATTTTGTTTGAAAGTATTAATGTTGAAAGTTGTAAAAAATGTGTCTCTGAAAGAAAAAAAATCTGAATTCTATATCCAATTCTGACTGTCTGCTCCCTTTTTGTGCTTGTTAAATCTTGGGAAATTATTTGGGAATGTAAAAAACTGTGTTCATCTCCTTATCACTTGAGCTTGAAAATTAATGTGTTGTCTTGTTTCATGAGAAACAAGTATTGGTGTGGGGAGTGATGGCAGAAAAGAATCACAGAGAAGGGGATTAGTAAGCTGAGGCCAGATGTGGGATGGGCAGTGCTGGTGCTGGTCTGCAGGAGCAAGCACAGCAGGTTCCAGGCCTCGGGGCTTCTGTACCATGGAAAGGGCAGAGGAGTTGGAGGCTGAGGCAGGAGGATCATCCATTCAAGCTCAGTGAGAGCAGCTTAGCAGCTCCTGTCTCAAAAAATAAATACCGCCCTGTGTTCAGACCCCAGCACCACAGGGGTGTGTTGTGTTACGGGAGAACAGGATGAGGGGCCATCACAGCCCAGCTGCCCAGGGGGGCGAAGAACACAGATAAGCGCAGAGTGGGCAGGTGGGTAGAGTTTTGGACACAGATCTGAGACAGTGAGGGTGAGATGGGTGAGGCTGGGCTCTGGTCTTGGGAGCAGAGTGTGGGGCCTGGGGCATTGAGGAACACCGGGCAGCACTCCCTAGGCCACCAGGGAGCCTCAGAGGGAAATGGGAAATGGTCGGGACTCAGGCGGAGACTGACATCATGGACGCCGGGCGGCAGAAGCCTCGGGCACCACAGCTCTTCCCTCCCCAGCCCCATGCAGGAAGAGGAATGCCAGGGCCCTGTAGCTGCTCCCGTGGCAGCGCCAAGACAGCTGGTACCTCCACTTTCTTCCTAGCCAGCTGCTTGAGTGCGTCGATCGAAACCTTAGCTGAACAACCTGCTCTCGAGAAATTCCTCTGTGTTGATCGTGACACCTCTGTGCTCCTGTTTTATTGAAATGAGCATCAGCACCTGCTTGCTTTACGCTCAGCCTGGTTTTGGGTCCTGCCAGCAGCAGGATGCTGGGGTTAGGTGAAGAACGGTGCTTTGCCGGACAGGGTCTGACACAGTAGCCCTGTTCTGCGTACTTTATTCCACTTGCAAACTTGCCAAGTACGCTGTTCCTTCTCCCTCCCAGATCCCAGTGAGGGAGGCCCTGCTTGCTCCATTCCACAGATGAGAGGCACAGAGAGTAAGTGACGTCCATGTCCAGGCTCGCCTGCTAGTGCACCTGGAACTGAGAGTTGATCGGAAGTCTGTCCAGTGCCACTGTCTAGTGGCAGAGTAGGTGGGCCTTAGGACCGGCTTGTGTTCCACACGTTTTTGGTAGGCACCACCCATTTAGGTTAGACAAGCTTTCTGTCTCTCCCCTTGCTTCCCAGTCGGCACTGTCCTGGGAGCAGGGCACACTGAGAGGAGCTTGTCCTCCTGTGGGGAGTATGGCTGTGAACAGGTGGCAGATGAGCCGCGCTCCTGCGCTCTGTGGGCCAAGTGTGCATTTCCAGAGCTGGCTGCGGCCCCTCGCCTCCTGCCCTCCTGCCATGAAGCTGGCACTTGCCACCGTCTATCCTCTTAGCTCTGTAAGTGGGTCAGCCCAGGCAGAAAGGAGAAAGAAAAGCCTGCTGTTCTTGATGCTGAGGAATCCTCTGGAACTGGGCCACACCCGCCTCTGCCTCTCTGGGCTCTCATGATCCCATCCCTTCATGGCCTAGGCTCTTGCCAACCTGTCCTCAGCCTCTCTGTATTTTTTAGCTTCTCACCACTGGGACACAATACCCAACACATACAACTCAAAGGAGATGTTAAACTTGGTTCACGGATTCAGGAGATTCAGTCCTTTCATGGCTGATTGGCTCTAAGGAAAACATCATGGGGAAGGGTGTGGCAGAGCAGAGACATTCAGTTCAGAGCAGCTCCGAGGCAGAGCAGGGAACAGTACCAGAGATGAAGGGCCAGGGACTTGTACCCCACAGTCACACCTCTGTGGCCACCCGGATCCGTGCCGCTTAGTCCAGTCAAGTTGGCAACGATGACACCATCACACTAAAAATGCTAATTCTGACGTGTCGTAAATTCATGTTCTTCCTAGGCAGAGATTGAAAGGCACGGTTTTGGGGAAACCCCTCCAAGTAAAAAACCCTATATGTACATTCCAAATTCTTTTTTTTTTTAATTTTTATTTTTTATTTATTTGTGTGTGTGTGTGTGTGTGTGTGTGGCCAGTTCAGCCCACCAGGGGGCGGGGCTGGCTGGCATGTGGTGCTGGGGGATTGAACCACGGTCCTTGTGCTTTGCTAAGCTTGTTCTAAGTAGGTGCTTTAGACCACTGAGCCATCTCACCGGCCCCTCTTTTTTTTTTTTTTTTTTTTTTTTTAAGGCAAGTTTAACCTAGGACCTGGAGCAGAAATCTAGAAGCAGCCCTACTGTTCCTTGTACACTTTATACACTAGCTTCCTCTTGCCTGTCATGGGACACACTGTGGAACTCTGCTGACCTGGACACTTAGCAAGACCTCAAATTTCAGTTTTTCTGCCCAAATGCTGTCTTTGCACAACTCTTTTGAGCCAGCCCTGTAGTCTTCCCACAGCCCCAGGATACTGACTCACTGGGAGAGACAGAGACGGGGTAGCTTGTAGCTGCTCGCCTCCACGCATATGCCTATTGAGTCTGGACCAGGAACTGCGCTGACCATGTGCCTGCAGTTATCCCTGCCTCCTGGGCCTTTCCATGTATGACGCTGCCCAAATCCCCTCCCCTGGACCCTGCTGTACAATGGGGCAAGATGAGGGCAAGTGAGACTTGTATTTGTGATGTCCTTTTGGTCTCGTGAATGCTTCATGCACAAATTGTACTGGGCCAAGAATACAGACTGAAGCCAGAGTTAAATGGGTGAATTCTGGCTCTGCCCTTTAACCATATTTGAACAGATTATATAACTTGCTGTGCCTCAGTGTACTTTTATAATGTGCTCACTTGTGGAGGGGATTAAATAAGTGAAAGCACACAGCACCCTCAGGACAGTGCCTGGTACAAGCGGACACAAACTGTTGGCTATCAGAACCATCTCCTGGGCTTCCAAGGCTGTGTTCAGTGCCGTTGAGTCTGACCAGGTGCCACCTAACATTTCTGCCTGCATTACTACTACCATCAACTGGAATCCTACTGGAGTAGGAAGCTGGAGCCCAAACGTATGGCCTGGGGATGTGCAGAAATCCTAGCACACAGGCTCGGGAGCCTGAGCTGTATTGTTTCTGGAGTAACGCATACCAGGTTGTTGGTGGTGGCTGGGTACTTCTGGTGGGAAGGGGACAGTATTGAGACTGGGGAGAGTATTGAGACTGGAGACTTCTATGAATTTTAGTGTTATGGGTTTTTAAAAATTCAATTAACATCAGTTTTGTGCTTGAAAAAAGACCAGTGAGCTCTGTGAGTTGTGGCATGGCTGCCCTAAGACACTCAGTCCCCTGGCACTCCTGTGCACAGCTGTGGGAAGTCGGGCTCTCAGTGCCCCTGCATGGCCATGGGTGAGCTCAGTGCTGACTGTGGACACAGAGGATGTCCCCGCCACCTCACCTCGCTGCCCTGCTCACTAGTGCCTGGTTTGCCATGCTTCCGCTGTCTGTCCTCGCAACCAAGTTTAGGGCTATGACTTGGCCTTATTAATCTATCAGCGTCTCTCAGAGTCAGTGCAAATCCTACTGAGAACACATAGACTAAACTTGTGCACATAGCAGATTATCCTGACCTCCTTCTGCCCCCGGCTCCCCTCAACATTTCTTTGCTTAGTTCCCCTTCTGCCGATCCCCGCCACCGACAGCCTTGCTTTAGAGTCAGTGTCAGTCTTACGTCCAATACCAAACTTCCTCCTTGGTGTGTCAGCCAGAGGCAGGTTCAGAACCCAGAACAGACCTGGCAAAGAAGCCTGAAGATGGCCATCACATGACTTGAAGATCGCAGAGCCGCCCAAGAGTCAGACCTCTGCTGTCTTGTGAGCTGCCACTCCAGCATACAGCGGCCACCTCATGACCCACGGTGGTAGTAGGGGAAGGAAGGTTTTCACTTTATTGTTTACTTAGGTTTGAAACAGGGTCTTGCTAAGTTGCCCAGCCTAACTTTGAACTCCTGATCCTACCTTAGCCTCCTAAGTGCAGGATTTATAGATATATACCATCATGCCCAGCAGAGTTTTTCTTTTTGCTCCTATTGCCCTTGTTATTGCTGGGTATCGCACTCCAGCCCCAGGCGTTTGCATGCTAAATACATGCTATGCTGTAGGCTCCAACACTGCACTACACCCCAACCCCAAGTTCTTTATTAATTTTATTTATTTGATAACAGGGTCTCGCTCTGCAATTCACACTCACAGTGATCCTCCTGTCTCAGCCTCCCCAGTGCTGGAGATTATGGGCATGCGCCACCACGCCCGGTATCGGAGCTGGCATGACATGCAGTACCAGCGCTGAACTTGGGTTCTTTGTGCTTGCCAGGCAGGTGCTTAGACTGCCGAGCTGTCTTCCCAGGGAGTCCTTTATTCTTGAGAGGCTTAATGCCTGGACTTTGATAGTAATTTTTTCTTTTTGATTCAGGGTCTCAGTATGCAACTCAAGTTGACCTCGAACTTGCAATGATCCTCCTGCCTCAGCTTCATGAGTGCTGGGCTTACAATCATATTCCACCACTCCTGGCTCAAGCCTGGACTTTGAAAATAAGAAAATCTGAGCATGCTAATGTCTGGTGGCCTTCACAAGCAACTTTACTCCTCTTGATTATCAGTCTTTCTAGCTCTAACACAGGCATAGCATCAACTTCTAAATACGGCTGTTACACCCTGGTGTAGAGCAACTGTAACGAGGGTATGTGTAAAAGGACACTTTCATGAAAACCGAAGCATGGTGTGGATCCAAATGGGAGAAACTGCTGAAATTATCCACCTGGATACTGCAGATCAAAGTTAAGTTGAGGATGAATGGTTTCTGCTTGTCCTTAAAGAGCTTGCGAAGACTGTTGCTATGTAGA